GGCCCCTGAAAGGGGATGCTCGTCCTCGGCTGGACCTCCTCTGAGCTCATGCCATTTGGTACTGGCCTGGTCCCTGCACCTGGCTTCCTCAGGCCTCTTGCCCAGGGTGATGGCCAGGCCCCAGGAGAAAGCACAGGATGGCCTGGGAGTGGGTGCTCCTCCCATCCTGATGGGAGGAGGGTGGCCCTGGTGGGCGGCAGGCTTCCTGCTCCTGTGGCTGTGCTGCCCCACCTAGTGCCGGGAGGGCCATCTGGGCCGAGTGCTCCAAGGGGGCCTGCCAGCCATCTGCTGGCTTGGCGCTGGCTGCTTCCGAAAGGCAGCAGGGTGTCTTGGGGCTGGGGCTGTAGGAGGAGCCGGGCCTGTTCCTGGCCTGGGCAGCCTGTCGGGCCCCAAGCTGCCATGAGGAAGGAGGCCTGGGCCCCAGCTTCTCGTCCTAGTTCTGCCCATGGCAAGGCCGGGCACAGAAATCACCCTCCTGGCTGTAAGCTTTCTGCCACACAATGGCAGGCTACCAGTCATTGCTGCCTCAAGGCCCAGGATTTGACTAGGGCACACACTAGGTCCGCAGAGAGTCCCCCCCTTGGACCTGACCTCAGCCTTGACCCTAAGGCCCCCTGGGGAATTATGTGCACCAGGAGCACTCAGGTACAGAGCAGGATTTCTCCCTCAGCGACAGCCTGGCCCCGGAGGGTACAGGGTGACAGTAGTGAGGGACACATCTCAGAAGAGGGAGGCTGGCTGGGACGAGGAGGTAGCTTCTCTGTGTGGGCATTCATTTGCTCTTCCAGGGTCAGCACGGGTCCTGAGCGTCAGTACACGCCTGATGCTGGGCCAGACTCAGGGGTGGTGGTCATGACAATAGGGGTAGGAGTCACTCAGTGATGTAGCTTAGGCTGTGAGCAGAGGATCAGAGCAACTGAGGGGCGATGGGGGCATTGCCAGAAATAGGCTGGGGAAACGCAGAGTCAGAAGGAAGCTATGGGGCAGGACAGTGGGGTTGTGGAGGCAGTCAGAAGCCCAGGTGACTGTGGCCCAGGACAGAGGAGACGACAGCGCAGCCCAGCAACCTGCCAGCCCCCACAAGTCCCCATGGGAGCTGCATTCCCATACAGGGCATCCCCCCAACCTCAGACAAGTCAGCCGCTTTTGGGGAGCAGGAACACCCTGGAAGATGGAGAACAGAGGGGCCCAGGGGACTCTGGAACTGAGACACTAGCTCTGCCCCACCTTCTGTGAGACCCTAGGCATAAAAGCCAGAGGGCATTTATCTGCGTGAGGATCAGTTGCCTTGTCCACCCAGTGGCCTCAGTGACTTCTGATTTTGGAAAGGGAGGATGGAGGCAAAAGTTCCCAGGTTCCCCTTCAGGTTACCACCTCTCAGAGGCTCCTCCTGGTCCCAGGGCTGGGCGGGGCTTCCTGTGAGCACTCCCCGTCTCGCGGTCTCCACCCGTGTCATTCCTGCCGCATCTTCCTCCATGGTCCCACTGGTGACCAGCTGGCGTCCTGGCTGGGCACCCTGCAGCCTACATTTCCTGTTCCCTCTCCACTTATGTGCTAGAGGAGACGCACAGAGGGACTCAGATTGTGGCCCAGCAGGTCTGGCTCAGGGGACCTGGCCCTGGCCACCTTTAGGCTCCTCAGTGTCTCAGCATCCCTATCCCAGTGGGTCCTGCCCCAGCCTCGATCTGGGTGTCAGCTGCCCGAGGTCTCTTTTCCAGTCTCTGGGCAGCTGCCCCACTACTCCTGGGCTCAAGGTCTAGAGATGTGTCTCTGACCCCACGTACTTCTCTGCCGTTGCCCTGCTTTACTCTCTCCAGAGCTTGGTTTGCAGCCTTGTCCTCTACCCCACCCAGAATGCAAGCTCCAAGGCCTAAGACCACTTCCCATCTTCCCATCCTGTCCCTTCTGTCCTGAGCCTGGCCAGGAGGGTACTCAGGAGTCGCCTTCCTGGGGCTACAGACTCCTGTTTGGCAGGAAGTGCCCTTGGTCTTTCTGTCCTGGCTTCCTGGCATGGCCCAAGCTCGCTGCTCTGTGCCAGCTTGCTGTCCCCTGGAGACAGGGTGATCGTTTCCCCGAAGGCAGCACTCGTTGCGGACTATTGGCCACCAGACGTTTTCTGGCCTGAAATCAGCTTTGCAGGGACTTCCCCCGGCCCTACTTCTGCTCCTTGAGGCAACACCTCAACAGAAGCTCTGATCACCATTTGAAAGTTACAGCTTCCTGGGGGAAAGGGTCTGGGCTCCAACTGGCTTTATCCTGCTTCTCCAGGCTCAGCTGCACCCTGTGGAGTCTCAGGGCTCCTGTTTCTCCTCTGTCCGTGCTGGGAGTCGTGTCCCCGGGCTACACCAGGGCAGGAGGAAGTGCTGAGCTGTGTGTCTAGCTGCGTGCCATGTTGACGCGGAAAACGCCTCCCCAGTTCTTCACTGTTCTGGGGTGTCCAGTCTCCCCTGCTTCTTCTTCCAAAGAAAGCAAAACTGGGAGGAAGCAGCCAGCTGCTCAGGTAGGCCCGGGTCACCAGAGGGAGGAAGACCAGCGGGTGGGTGGTGCCGAGAGGCCCTCAGTGATTGATGGCGTTGCCTTCTGGGAGACGCTGTACGGCAAGGTTGCCCAAGGTCAGTGCCTCTGCTCTGCGATCTCTCATGAAAAGGAAGAAGAGAAAGCGGGTGCAGTTTCCAGTTTTTTAAGGAGCTGGCTCAGAGCCTGTCCTAGACATCAGGGGAAGGCAGCTGACTGCCTGACAGCCCAGCCACAGCCCGGGAATGCCTGGAGGGAGAAGAAAAGGCAGCCATTTCTCCAGAAACTGCTGTGTGCGCCAGGCCCTGAGCCGGGAGCCAAGAGTGTGTCTAGCCCCCAGGAAAGGCCAGATGTTGTTCTATAGACTGTATGCAGCTTACTCATTTAATGAATGTAATCCTAGCTCCATTTCAATCCATCAGAATTATGCACCCATTATAAAGACTGTTTACCCAAGGCCCAGGGAGGGCAAATGATATGCCCAAGGTCTTGCAGTCCACAAGGACATTCTTTAATGCAAGGCTCACCACTCCTTGGAGACAAGGAGCATTGTTGACACTAGTTGCCCATGCTATTCAACTTGGTTCAAGCCCTTTGAAAGTGGGGCGGGGGGGTGGTGACAAGCGGACGGCTGGAGCGGCTGTGTGTGAGTGGAGGTTGGGAGGGACGGGGGAACCGAGCCAGCCCCAGAGCTGTCGTGGACACCTCTGATGTCCCTGCCAGTGTTGTCTTCAGCTTTCCATGGATGCCTGTGCTTCCACGTGGACCCAGAGGAAGAAGCGAAAATCCCCATCAAAAATTCCTCTTGTGCTGCTGCCTTGTTATCAGAAGAAAAAGTCAGACGGAAAGGCGAGGTCTGGGCCCAGCATCTCAGATCAGGACCCGCCCTCCCGCCGCCACAGCATGAAGTCAGGCAGGGAGAAGTCCTGGGCCGGGGCCAAGGCCTGAGCTGGCCCTGTACCCTGGCCAGTGTCTATCCTCCCAAGGTCCTCTGCCTTCCTCAGGGACCCCTGATTCCTCTGGCTGCCACCAGAGCCTCCTCACTAGTATGTACTCAGAACCCGGAGCTCCTGGAAATCAGGGACGAAATCAGCGTCCTGGTCTCTCTGGGACAATGCCCAAGGGCCCAATGTAGCTCTATGTTGGAAGCACCTAGCATAGAGGGTGGAGAGTAATCTCTTGTCCCAGCCTTAACAAGGATAGTCTTAGGGAATGTGGTGATATCCTAGGCTAGGCCTCGCTTTCCCCACCTGTACAATGGGTATATTAGTATGCCATCTCAGCTGGCAGATGAAGATGAGGTGGGATGGCAGATAAGAAGGTGCTGTGGACATGGTCAGATCTTGGCCAGCCACTTAGCTGCTGGTAGCCAGTAATTTTCAAACTTCCAATCACACTGAATCACTTGGGGATTCTAAGGTGTATCAGTGTCCAGCTCCTTCTGTGGTGGCTGAATGGGGCAGGCACTGGGGGTGCTAAGAGGCCATCTTTATCGCGGGTGATTTTAAGGTGTGGTCGGGTACAAAGCCTTGGGGCAGCCCCTTTGGTTCTGTGCTTTCCTGCCTTGTTGTGTAGCGAGGGCGTTCACAGGTCAATAGCAGGCTCCTGTATCTCTGCCACTCTCTGGATTTATCCTGCTGGCATAGAACGCACCCCTGCAGGGGGCTGGGAAGCAGAACCACCTGTGGCTTCAGTGGGCCTCCTTCTGTGTGCTGAGGCTGGCTTGGGGCAAAAGTGGGGGTGAGAGGGAGACTCAGGGCCTGGTCCCTGTCCTATACCCGCTCACGCGAGGGTCCTTCCTGTCTGTGACCTAATCTCCAAGTCGGAGGAGGAAGTAAAGGCCACAGCAGAGTGTGCCTGGGCACCTTCCGCCCCTGAGGGCTTTCCGTGGGGGAAGGCCTCCTGGATGCTTCTCAGAGAAGAGAAAGCCAAGCCTCTGACAGGTGCAGGGGCTCTTCCATACCACCCAGGTCACAAGGGCCAAATGGGAGCACAGGCCAGCTCCGTCTGTCTTCTGCGCCCCTGCTGCAGGAGGTTGGTGATGGGGCAGATGTGGCTCAGTGCAGGCAGCCAGGGCCAGGGCATGAGGGGCCAGAGTCTGGGGAGTCAGCGGGTCAGTTGCCAGCCAGCCTAGGGTTCTTCTGCTCAATCAGACAGAAATCACGAGTTGACAAAGTGCAGCGTGGCTAGCAGTCCTTAAGTTGCCGCTTGGCCCAAGCCAGCTCTGGACGCTACTGTTGCTCTCACCCCCTATGGCCAGCTTGCGCTGGACTCTGAAGGTCAGCTGTGCTGGGCACTGGTTGTCAGTGGATCATCTTTGTAGCTCTTTGATGTTAACAGCTCTGAGTGGTTTTTTTTCCCCTTCTTTTTTTTTTTTTTTTAATAACTGCCCTGCCCACACTGCCCAGGGTTAAAATCTCAGATAGATTCACAGGACTTTTGGAGCCCATACCACCCATGAAATATATCATGAACAGGTTTCCAGGAACACTAAAGCAAGTCTTTATTGTAACAAGGTCTGTGCTGCAGCGCAGGGATCCTTCTAGAGGAGGGAGCCCTTCTAGACTAACACCCCAGAAGTGGCTGGGGAGAGCTGCAGGCCCATGGGGAGGTGGGGGGTAGGGCTGGAAGCGTGTTCTGAATGTTGGGCACGCAGGTCCCTCCCCTTCTGAGCTCAGTCATTCCAGGATACCCTCTCCCTGCTTCCAAAATGCAACAGTATTGGCGGAGGGGGCAGGGGAGAGGAGAGCGCTGCCTGTCCAGCTGCACTCAGTTGGAGCAGAGTAGAGTAGACAGGGGCCGTTTGCTAGCCAGGGAGGACACCGAAGCAAACTGCCGTGGACAGGTGCTTACTCTCTTGGGACTGAGACAGTGCCCTGCAGTTTGCAAGCTACAGAGCTGGGCTGCTGGGGTCAGGCCTCCCAGGTCACTTTGTAATCAGGTGAGAGACAGGATGGGATTTTGCACAGTCAGCCTCAGGCTCCAGCTACATCTGAGGAGGTCCAGACGGTCAGGCCACGTCAGGACCTGGGACCACATGCATGAGTGAGGTAGCCAGGCAGAAAATTCCCTCACGGCGGAGGTCTGCAACGTGAGGCTGCAGCAAGCAACTTGAGGGTGTTCAGAAAGGGTGGTCTGGACCCTGCCTCCCCCAGGTTCCTCACGGGCTGGGGCTGGAGTCTCTATCCTCACCAGCCTTACCATTTTCCCACCTGCACAACGGGGGCTTCCAGCAGTCATTTTAAGTCAAGTTCAGGGAATAGCCTTATAAGCAGGAGAGGCAAAGGCACTCCTTTCTCCATCCATCTACCCGCCACCCATTGCCCCCCTGCCCACGTCCACCCCTGCTTCCTTCCAGGCACCCACCAGGCCTCATGCGCTTCTTTGGCAAGCCACCTCCGATCAGATGCTTGTAGATAGAGATGAGTCAGAGCTTCTGCTTCCAGAGACTCCTAGTCTCACTGGGGTTGCCCATCCCGTGGATGAAGAGGTCTGTAGTAGTTCCACCTAGGCTGTGGGGGCAGATTTCATCCATTCTGAGCTGGGTTGAGATAAGACCCAGAGCTGGCCAGGTGGGTGGGAGGGGAGGGATGTCTCTGGAATGGGTGTGGCACAGACCCAGGGCGGCATGGTATATTTAGGCCTCCTGGCTGGGCATCATGGCTGAGACTTGGCGGCACCAGGATTGAAGCTGTGGGTGGGGGTTTCTGAGCCAGGGAGGAGTGTGCTGCTAGATCCGGCTTCAGGTGGGTGACTCAGTGGGACAGGGAGGGGCAGTGGGCATCGTTGGGCAGGCCCAGGCAGAAGATGGGGCTGCTGGGACTGATGTGTGGCTTTGTCCTCTTCCCCCAGGAGCTTGAGTCTTCTCTCTCTGCCCAGCTTTCCTGTCTTTTTGAGGGGCAGGAGACCTGCACAGAACACCCCGCCTGGCCCTTGTCTCTCCCATTCAGGCATGGGAAGGAGCAGTACTATCATTTGCATTTTGAACCCTCCATCTCCTAGCATCTCACCTTAATAAGAGCCAATTACACCTCTGCCCCAAACTGCAGGTTGCCTGCCTGTCATTGGACTTTCATCCTGTTTGAGGTGGGGAGGAACTGCTCCTTTAAATGTCACGTTTAGCATATGCAAATGAAGAGTTAATTGTCCCTAATGGAAACTGAACTCACCTGCTTGCTGTGAGTTCCAGACAAAGCAGGCATTGATGAAACAGGCACCAGGGCAAGACTGGGGTCTACTCTCTGTCCTGTCTCAGCTGGTGTCCCCGGCCTTGTCTACTTCTCTCGCTCATCTAGAAGAGGGCAGTGCCAGTTGGAAGGTGACACATTTAGAGATCTTTTCTCTATTTGACACTGAGGCCTGGAGGGCCGAGGGACTGGCTCAACAAGGTCAGAGGCTGCGCCAGCTTCAGGGAGAGTGAGCGTGGGGGTGCGTGGCAGCCCGTGGCAGGGAAGTGAGTCTCAGTGGTCAGGCACCCACAGGAGTGCTGATGGACAGCCTCGGGGTCTAGCGCTTCCTGGCAGTGCATCTCCTCAGGCGAAAACGTAGGAGAGGTGCTGGGTGATCTCGAGGCTGGGGTCAGGGGCGAAGGCTGCCGAGGGTAGGAGCTTCGGATACCGTCTCAGCCACTGGCCCACACAGTGCAATCCATCCTCGTTTCTGGTTGCGATCCTTTCCTGAGAGCGGAGGTGGCACACATCCACAGGGAGAGAACTCTGCCACAGTAGCACACAAGCTGCAGCAAGGGCCCTCCGCGTGTGCCATGGTCAGAAGGGGTTTTTCTGGGAAGAGAGAAGCCCTCTTAGAGAATGAGCCCCACTGGCCCACCCTCCAGGCCTGAGGAGTTTTCAGAGTCCCAGGTCTGGGCGGCATTTCTGACCTGCCCCTAGAATCCTGCTCTCCTCACTGGAGTCAGGGCTAGGGTTGTCCTATCCTGGATCCCACTGGCTTTGCAGCCCTGCCCCTGCCCCTGGGGAAGTGCTGCTGCTGTGGAGTTGGAGGGGTGCAGGTAAGTCTTTGCCTGCCTCTTGAACATGACATGTCCCCTGGGGGTTGCACACCTTCAACGGTGGACTGCACTGTGCCACAGCTGCCGCATATTGTGTCAGAGAGACACTGCCAGAGGGCACACAGGGGGCCTGGCACATGGGAGGGACTTTGGAGGGGTTTGTTTTACAAATCGCTTGCTCTGTTCCCTGCCCCTGTTCCCTGCCAGTGGAGAGGCTGGACTGCTGCTGCCCCAACTGCCAGGAACTCCTGGTCTGCTCACCTGTCCTATCCAGCTGCCCTGTGTCTTCTTGCCCTAGAGGGCCAGCGCAGCTCAACCCACCTAGCTGCTTGCTGGCCCAGGGATGCTGGTGACCTTGGAGAGGGGGCCCTAGAAATCTCTGGCCATCTGAGGAGAAACAACTGGTTCGAGTCACACAGTGAGCTCAGGGGTCAGCAAGCCTCTCTCCAGCCTCAGTGGCCTAGTGCTTCAGTGGTCACTCTGAGGTGCATCTCTGCGGGACACGGCTGGCACAGCTACTCTGGGCCGAGGTCACAGCCCTTGGCATCCAGGCAGTGCTGGTCACAGGCAAGGGTCGAGATCAGGAGACAGGATTTGATCTGATACGGACAGGTGTTTTGTTAGGCTGCTGAGAGGGGGTCTGGCTGTTCCTGCAGTAAGACTTAGCCTGCTCTGACTGATTCCAGAGTGCATGCCGGTGACTTCGGCATGACAAGGGGTGAGTTGTAGGCCCTGCATGCACAGGGACCATGTGTCTCACCAGAAGCCGCAGGCAAGCACGTAGAGTAAAGATCGTGTGCTGGCCCAGTAACACCTGTTTGTTGGCGGCTCAGGCTGGGCCAGCAACTTAGTCTTTTCTTCTGTGGGTCTCAGCGATGGCAGCCATGGGCCTCAGCAGGTGCCGTCTGCACAGTGTGAAGGCTTCTCCTAGGATGTGCAGACAAGGGTGCGACAGGAGCCCAGCCCCAGTTTGTAGGAACCCATGGCCAGGCGAGGAACCAGGGCTCAGAGCCTCGAGGAAGGTGGCTTCTGGCAATGCCTTCCAGAATGTGGAAGGCAGGAGGGATGGCGCAGGAAACAGCAGCCATCTTGCCTTGTTCCTCAGCTGCAGCTGGGCCAGCTGTCTCTGAAGGAGCTGCTGGGTGCTGGAGGGAAGGAGGCTGACCAGTGCAGTGCTAGGCCACCTGCGAGTCCCCATCTCTGTGAGACCTCGTGGGGAGCTCCGGCCCAGCTCTGGGCTCTTCAGCTGTCTTCAAGGCTGCCCGGAAGCTGACTCTCTGTGATGAATGTGCACTTCCCTTCCTCTGTGGCCAGTGCAGAGGGATGCGGGGGATGTGGCTTTGGCTTTTGTGGGCAGCACTGGCGTTTGGGGAGCCTTGCAGGGTGGGCTGCAGCTGTATACTTGGGAAAGCCTTGCTTGCAGATGTGACACTGCGTAGCAGGTGGGGCTGGAGGTTGGGGGTTGTGGTGGGACCCTGGGAGAAGCCAACACCATTGCTCTTCCTAGAGGAGGCCCTTGTGCTCCTGAAGAAGCACTCACAGCCTGTCTCCTCTTGGATCTGCTCTGTCTCCAGCTGACTCCAGATGTGGGTGACGTTTCTTCCGGCCCCTGCTCCTCCTGGATGTGGATCCCAGGGCCTCTCTTATTCAAGCCACTGTGGTTTTGGTTTGGGGGTTGAAGCAACGTTGGGCCCAGGCCCATTCTCCAATTATCCCAGAGAGTGGAATTTGGAGCTGGGAGAGGCTAGGCTTGGATGCGCTCTTAGCTAATGGAAAGATGGAGCTGGGAGCCCCTCCCGGCTTAGCTCATCTACAAGCTTGGACGGCCCTCCCTCTTCCTAGAGTGCAACGCTGGCCTCCAGGATGTGAGCTCAGCTCCTCTGGGTGGGGGTTCTCGGGTCTCCCTGAGACACTTGCTGTGCTTCCCCCAGAGGGGCCTGCAAGCTCTCGGACCTAGAATAAGACATTATAAGGGGCGGAAGCAGAGCGCCTCCTCTGAATTGGCTGAATGTGATGACACATCAGGTGTAGAGAGAGCCTCAGGATGCTGTCAGTGCTGAGGAGGTTTGTGCTTGTTGACATGAATAATTCACCCATTTTTTTCTTCTTTCATTCTTCCATTAATTTATTCATCTTCCAATCAAGTCATTCCCCCATCCATTCATTATATATCCATCCATCATTCATGCACTCATCCATCTACCCATCCATCCATCTGTTACATTATGCAGTTACTGTTCTCTTTATACAAGCATCTATCTGAGTATCCATCTATCTGGGAATAAAATCCATCCATCCATCCATCCATCCATCCATCCATCCATCCATCCATCCATCTATGTATTTATCCATTTATCTATCTATTTGTCCATGCAGTCATCCACCTCTCTATCCAAGCATCCATGTAAGCATTCATCCATCTTTGTATTATCCACCTACCCATCTATCCATCCATCCATCCATCCATCCACCCACCCACCCACCCACCCACCCACCTGTCCACACACCCACCCCCATTACAATCTTGATGAGTACTTGCTGCGGGCCAGCCCCTGTGCCCTCTGCTAGGATACAGAGGCAAACAGCTCACCAGCCCTGCTCTGTCAGTGTTCTAGGTCTGGGGACCAGATATTTATGTAACCATTAGTGCCTCCTCAGCCACATCACTTTATAGCAAAGTTGAAAGTTGCTACATGAATCCAGAGGCTTAACCGACTCCACCTCAAATGACCTTTCCCTTAGGGCCCTTTCTCTGATTTCACCATGTAGCATGGGAACATGACAAGGAGAAGAGCAGCCACAGGACATTTCCGATAGCTAGCAGAAGCTTTGCCAGGGCAGAGCTCTGTGACAGAGCGTGTTCAGGGTGGGAGGACAAGGACCCTGCTGGAGAGCAAACTAGAGGGTCACACTGAGAGGAGGCACAGGGCCTTGAATGCCAGGTGGAGGCTCTTGCTGCCTCCCTGTGGTCCTTGAGTACCAGGAGCTGTGGGAAGCAAAGCCAAGCCCTTTCACATCATAGAGGCAGAACTGGATTTGGATCTGAATCTGCCGCTTCTGTGGTCTGGGCCCTATTTTCTCTTCTTAGAGGAACAGCAATGCTGTTGACCTCACTGGGTTTCTGTGAGTTACACAGGGATCCTGCCGGAGTGGTACCTGGCACGCTTCTTGGCATGCAGCAGGTGCCGGAGCAGCACCTTATTCTGGGCTCCGCTGGCACCTGGCTGGAGCTGGAGCTCGGGATTTCTGCTGCTGGCTCCAAGTCACTGTGCGCTAGTGCTCACTTCCTCTCCACGGGCCTCTGTGTCTTACCTGAGAGACTCTCCCAAGCAGCCGCCTCCACTGCTTGCTGGAAGGAATGAGGAATGTAGGGGTGAGTGGTCCTGGCAGATTGTCCAGACTGCAGATGAAGTGGGGGGATTCGACTCAGCCAACCGGTGATGCGCCAGCTCAGGAAAGGTCTCAGGGACCGCAAGTGACCCCAAGGGCACTGGCACCCGGCCACTCGAAACTCTCAGTCAGAGTGGCTCCCAGGAGCAGCGGGCCGAGGCGAGACCTGACACGTTGGTGTGCTCGGCAGCTCGCCTTGCTCAATGCCCTGGCTCGGTGCCACCCTCACCAGCTGTAGGGCCGGGGCTGTTGTCTACCACGCTTGCCTGACACTCTGTGCTGACCTTGGATTCAGATGGGCTAGGGAAGAAGCGAGAGGAAAGCTGTGCTCCAGAGGAAAGCTATGTCCTTAGGGGCCCTCTCCACCTACTCATCTGTGGGCGGCCAGGGCTGGAACAGGGAGGTTTGTAACTGAGCCTCTGGGCACCACAGGTAATGGAGTCAGGAGAAGGTGGCAAAGGAAGGACCTCTGCAGAGTATAATCCACCCATGGTCCATGTCTAGGGTAGCAGGAGGGTCACACCTACCCAACACGTGGCCTCGTTCTCAGGGCCGCTAATGCCCTTCCGCAGAGCAAAAGTCAGATCTGTAGGAACACCTTCCTGAAGGTCATGCAGGCTTCTGGGAAGTCAGTAGCCAGGCAGGTAACAGCAGCAGCTAGGATCCATGGATTCTCTCTCTTCTGTTCTTACCTTGCTCACACACACACACACACACACACACACACACATACACGCACGCACATACATACACGCATGCACACAGAGGACACAGTGCATATGTGTACATTCAGACAACACACAGACACTGTGTTAGTTTTCTGTCACTATGACAAAACACCTGAGAAAATCAACTTGAAGGAAGAAAGGTTTAGTTGGGGTCAGTTTCGGAGGCTTAGTGTATGTTCAGGCTGCTCTGCTGCCTCTGGGCAAGACAGAAAAATCATGGCAGGCAGCATGTGGAAGAGGAAACTGCTGGCCTCCTGGTAGTGTGGTTCTGGAGGGAGGGAGAGAGGCAGAGAGAGAGAGAGAGAGAGCTTTTCAAAGCCATGCCTCTACAACTCACTCTCTTAACCAGGCTCCACCTCCTAAGTTTCTGTCTGCCCCCAATAATGCCACCACCACCGAATGTATACATCGTCACTGGGTTGCTGTGCTGATGAACTTAGAATCCTCACGGCCCAGTCACCTTCCAGAGCTCAGCAGCAGGCAGCCAAGCCCCCAGCCGAAGGCCTTTTGGAGACGCTTGGGATCCAAAGCGTAACTTCCAATGCAACGGGTGCCCAACGTAGCTCCAGCGTGCACACACGTGCACAGACAGATTCAACAACCTGAGTCTGTAAGCCGCACACTCCCCAGCAGCCCCTTCACAAGTGATGCAAGTTCCTGGGTGAAGGCGCCCTCTTAACTAATCACACTGACCTGATCCTCCTGCTGCGGAACCTTCCAGAATAAATCTAACGTGGTAAACTGGAAGCTCTATAGATCTGGAGAGGAGGGCAGATATTCTGGTCCACTAGCCTCACTTGTTTGGTTGCAGACAGGAAAGCTGAGGGGCAGAGGGTAGGGACCATGCCATGCCAGCTCTGTGACCTTGCCTGGAACAGGGTTCTTGTCATGCTCTTGAACAGTCCTCTTACAATCTACGCCTTCTTTCTGCTCTGGCCACAGGACCTAGGAGCCCCCGTGGTCATCCAGCTCTTCACTGGATTCTCTTCCATTTGGGGCCAGAAAGAGCTGAAGTCTCCAATGTGGAAGTTGGTGGTGATGGATGGGCCACCTCGTCATGGGCCAGAAGTACCTGGCAGGTCCTAGAAGAAAAGGAGCTCTCCAGGGCTGGTTTGCTTCTAGCTCACTGGCGTCTCCAGCTCAGAGTCGACGGGTGATGGCCTTTGCAAGAATATTAGATAGCTGGGAAAAAAAATGATCACCCTTCAAAAATGACTGTGGAATTCAAATTAATCGATGTTTAATTGAATATGTGCATAGTGTTACATCATGTCAACTTGTTAAATTGAACTCACCTTGGTGCCTATGAAGTTACATGTAAATGATATCTGAAATGGGCTGTAGGTACATCCTGATATGTTTATTTTGATGTGTTGTGGCATTCTACCATGACAGGGCAGGGGGCTATGAAGATTTAAGAGCAGCTCTATGGGGGTGGGGTGGGCTGGGGATGCTGCCCACAGCTGAATTGTGATCTGGTTGTGCCACCAGTAACACCCACTGGGACCTCTTGGGGCAGCTGCGTATTATAGCACCATAAGTGGAGAAGCCCAGCTCTAGGCTCCTCTTTGATCAGACACGCTGGACTCTTCCTGGACAGTTTGGGATGATCGATGCTGGTGTGCTAGCTCAGCATGCTCTGCTCATCCTGGCCTGTCTGCCTGGGCTGAGGATGTGGGTAAGGTGAGGCAGGACAGACCGGGAAAAGGAAAAGAGATGCTTAACCTCTGCCCTCATATCCAAGGGTCCGTGGTCAGAGCATTTGGGAAAGAGGAGCCCTGGGTTTTGGGTGATCCAAATGAAGAATGACAGCTAATGTGCTAAACAATAGTACAGTGTGGCTCACTTCACTTCCACACAGGGCTGGGCTGGGGGCAGAATATTTAAGGTCCTTAATTCATCTTCTCTTCACTGTGGGAGGCCAGGGTCAGTTTACATCCATGAAGAATGGGGCTAGGAGGCTCAGGAGGATTGCATGAGCCAGGAAGTCTCTGCTGAGAAAGGACAGTGTTGGCCTGGGGCTAAGCCCTTCTGACTCCTAGCTGAGTAGAACTCTCAGCCCTACCCTCCCTCACGCCACCCTTGGAGGTGCTGTGGCAAAAGCACAGAGCACTCTGGACTCAGCAGTTGTACGTGGCTCCCACTTCCACCCGGGGACTCTCTATTGCACAGCTGGTGTGAGGCCAGCCTGCCCTGAGAGGACCAGGTGGTACTGACAGGGACCACAGACTCTCTCCTGCATCCCCATTCCTGGGCTGAGACTGGACCCACGTGACTGGTTCTGGCCAGTGGGCTGCAAGCAATTAGATGTGTTCCTTCCAGGTTCAGGAGAGCCATTTGCCCTAGCAGAGCCTGGGCTCCAGAGTTCTTGCTTCCTCTGGCCCAGGGAGTCATGGATTTCTTTGCTTTTATAATTTGATGTGGGAGCAGCTGTGGGCATTTTACATTTAGACTCCTACAAAACTTTTCATAGAAAGGGCCTCTCAGATTGCACAAGCTTTTGCCCACAAAACCCGGATGTGCCCCTGTGGTCAGGCCGTTAAAGAATGTGTACCTCCTGATGCAGTTCACTCTCTTTCTGCAATGGCCTTGGAGGCCAGCCAAAGCCACAGGGTGAAGGAGAGCTGCCCATATGACGCAGGGCCTCATATGAGTAAGGATGAAGCTTTCCTGATGTCTTAGTGCATATACTGTTGCTATAACAAAATACTTCAGACAAGGTGATTTATAAAAAATAGATGTTTATTTCATGATCTCATTTAATATTAATCACCTCTTGAAGGCCCTATCAACTATCATGACTATATGACTTTGAGGATTAAGTTCCCAACACTTAAACATATTCCACTTATAGCTTGTGGGAAGTCACTGATACTTGGGGGATGTATTTGTGTAAAGTCATCACCTGCAGTGATGACTCATACATACAGGAGGAGGACACTGGGGCTTTGTCCTTGGGGTGGAGGACAGTATAGGTGCTTACAGAGCTATGGTGGAGGGGAAGAGATAGGAATATATATGATTGATGGTGTGTGGACTCCCAAATCAGTGCTCTGAGCCTGGGAGCTCTGCATTAAATCCAGCGATGCCAGAAATCCCATGAAGGCCAGTGCATTTCCCAGAGAACCTCCAGATGGAGAGTCAAGAACTTGAGGGCTGAACCCACATCCCTGAGAACACAGTGTGGGCAATTTGGGAGTCAATGAAGGTGGTGCCCAAAGCCCATCATGTCAAAGTTAACCTCATGGAGGGTGTCACAGGACACCGCCCATGCCAATCTCTTCTCTCAACTTGGTGGGACTTGGAAACAGCTGAGCAGACTCAGTTTCTGAGGCAACGGTTTCCTGCCCTAGCTCTAGGACCTCTTCGGCCACTCCCGAGAAAGGGAGACTTCAGTGCTCCTGGGCAGCAGGACCTTGTGCTCTGGGGTTCTGGCTCTGCTCATTTTTGCCTACAGGGGATCAGCTTCCCTGTTCCATAGAGAGCAAGTGAGTAAGAGTTCTGTGTGCCATCTACATTAGGGTTCCCCTGTCCCCAGAACTGGGCCACACAACAGGAGGCTGGTGGTAGGCGAGAGAGGAAAGTTTCATCCGTATTTATAGTGCTCCCCGTTGCTGGCGTTGCTGCCTGAGCTCCGCTTGATTCTCACAGGAACTCACATCCTCCTGTTAGCTCCACATGTCAGGGATCTAAGTAGCCGCCTGTTTCTTATGAGAGTTTAGTGCTGGAGGATCTGAGGTGGAGCGGAGGCCGTGATGTTAGCACCAGGGAGTGGATGCAAATACAGAATCACATTGGCAGAGCTTTGACTGCACAGATCCCATAATAAATCAATTGCTTAGAGACACATGTCAAAATCCTATCAGTGAGTGGAAAGTGGCAATTAAGCTGCATTTGGTGGCCAGCTTTACAGGGGCAAATGAGGTGATTCCCATATTCCAAGCCTGCTTTGTATTAATATGCAGTACCTGACTATCCGATCTAGCTTTAAAACTTTCCAAACAGCTTCAGCCTATGGAGACCAAACATCCTGCATTAAGACAATTTTTTTTTTTTTGATTTACAAAAGTGAACGTTAAGAGCCGAAGCAATTATTGAAGGTCACTGCTTGATTACATGTGTTTGCACTGTGAATATTATTGTTAGTGGCTAACTGTATTGCTAAAGCTAAGAAGCTCTTATTATGAGTGAGTTGACCCTGCTTGTTGGTAAGGACATTTTTGTAGTAAACTTTTATTTATTATTTTTTTTTTTAATTTTTAAAGAGAATGAAAATATTTTTAAAAAATCAAAGCAATACACAATTTCACTACACAAGATGATAGGAATTCTACAA